AATTAGTTTCTACCAACACCCAGCAGTAGACACTTGGTGGGGGGGGGGGGGGGGGGGAAAGACCTATTTCTGGGCTTTGCTTTTAATGAAGGAGGAAACTAAATGTTTTCCACGATGCTTCAGCAACTGTAACAAGCTCCTTTGCTGCTTGGCTTCTACCGTTAATGACAACAAGTACTACAGCCTATTTCTGGCTACAAAAATAGACAGTAGAGTAATAAGAAAGTTGGTAGTAATAACATTTTAAAATTTCACTAGTATTATTAGATTATTATTTTTTATTTGCTGCCCTCCTATATTCCAGAAGTTGTAGGGAATTCCTGACACTGTAATTTTGAAATGAAGGAGGAGCAGATGCTCTCAGTTGGCCAGCACACACGGAAGGAAGGGTTCTGCAGTTTGCTATTTTAGAGGGCTACTGACTTTTAGCAGAAGTGAGCTACATATTAATATAAGAGTCTATTGTGTGTAAAGCATTCACAGTTATTGTTGAATATTTACTTATTAGATAACAGACTTCAAATGGGAAGTTTATATGAAACACCACAAGAGCTCATTACCTGTGATCTTCTACCTTTTGCTACAGTAACATTTTTGGTCACATAAGTGAAAGTGACAATTTCCATTCTATTTCAAAAAGAAATAACTTGTACTCATTATTTCTTTCGTAACGACAATTTTTCCTGTATGTGTTTTCTGCACATTTATTGTGAAGAAGTGAAAATACCTTATCAAATATCTATTTAATTACAGTAAAACTGTTCTCTTTGACTGCAAGGCCAGTATACATAGACACATATTTGCTCTGAAAAATGCAAGATTATGCTCTTCACACTTCAATTCACAGTAAGTGTGCACAATTCTTGCAATGTGGCCCACGCTTTATAAACGCTCAGAATTGAGTTTCACCCCACTCCACATTCAAAACCTGAATATGCTGAAGCAGAACAGCACACGTGAAGTGCTGAAGAATGAGAGGGCAAAGAAGATATTGCCAAAGCAGCCAAACACGAGGCGTGATTAAGCACGGTATATGATCCAACACTGATCTGCTCTGGAGGGACAATTAGTCCTATTAGAGTGTCAGAAGATAAATCTGTTTCACCTTGACAGTACCATCTATCCCTTGCTATCTCAAGAGGGAGGCGGTATCTCTATTACAACAGAGTACAAGGCAAACAAAACTAGAGCTTTGATGGCAAACGCAGGCATTTAGTGCATTTTTTTCTGCAGCACTTCTAAAACTAAATGGTGTGAATACTTCACCCAGAACTAAAGTTTTTTATCTGTTTTACAGGTTAGGATACAGGAGCACAGATTCAAAAAAATTACCATCCAAAACCAAATTAAAAGAGAACTCAGACTTTTACATTTAGCATTGAAGATTTAAAGATGATTCCTCAGCTGCGAGCGAGGACACCCTGCAAGTTTGTATGCTGCAAATTAAAGCTATTTCTGAGAGGAAAGAGGGAAAAACCCCATAGCTGGGCCGTTAGCGTAAGACACTTCAAACAGCGTTTCCCTGCCGCCGGTCCTGTTACGAGTCCCTGACTAACTTGGCAAGGCGCAATCCAGGTCTCCAGAGGTGCTTGGCCACCCAGCTCCCAGTGAAAGACCACGGGGGCCGGGCACATCTCGGTTGCGAGGCTGTCGGGGCCGCGTTGGTGCCCACGCCGCAGGGCTGCGAGGGAAGCGCGAAGGGGCTCGGCCCGGCTGAGAGGCCTGCCGCCACCCCACGCCACACACACGGAAGCGCGCGGGGAGCGCTGGCGG